TTCCTGCTGTTCCTCATTGGTGGGTTCTGCCCACTGCCCCCAAGCCCCTGGGCACATTCTTATTGTCTTCTACGGAAAACTCCAACCCACAGTCCCTGACACACTTAATAAAGTACCTAGAACCTCCAGGAGCATCTCCACATATGCCAGGGGAGTAGGCAGATTGATTTGGAAGTTCAGGGATTTCAAAACATCAAGCTCTGACTCCAGAAGTTCTTCTTTCGTGTGTATATATCCTAGAGCCTGGAGGAAATTCAGGACTGTAATGTTACTGATTATCTGAGCAAAGAAAAACAAAACAGTGAGAAAAAGAGAAGGGTGTCAGAGTAAAGGTCATACATCTTGGCATAGTATACAAAGCCCTTTGCAATCTAGCCATGCCTTCATCTCATCTTTTCTCTTGGTAATTCCCCCTTATACTTGATGCCTGTCCTATAGAATTACAGTTCCCAAACCCACCAAGCTCTCCAAGCCTCTGTGCTGATTCCTGTATCTGGATCTCCCTTTTCTCTCCCATCTCTCTCCCTGCTTTCCTTAACTCCTCTCCCTCTTCCCTTAGGACCCACCCATTTTCCACACCCGCTCCTGCTTTGAGAAGTCCTTTTCTCTAAATACACTTCCTTGACTCTCCAAGGCTGATAAGGTACATTTATAGCCCTCTGTATTTACACTAATCAGGACATTTTCCCACACTATTTGCCTGTGTCTTCTCTCATTGGATAATAAGTTCCTTTAGTGCACAGACAATATTTTTACTGTTGCAGCCATGGCACCTAGTGCAGCATCTGGCTCTAGAAGGCAATAAACATTTGTTGAACAATATTTTGTTATACAGGCATTGGATAGTGACAGAAAAAAAAATTATCCTTTATAAATGTAGTGGTTTGCCTTTAGTACTGATAAGTTTGTTGGCAATTCAGACACCTTATGTAAATTGTCCTTGAATCCAAGGGGAGAAAAGGTGACCTGCATGAATGATGGCATCTGTCCAGCAATTATACTTTGGGAACAGACCTTCAGGCTATTTAATAATTGCCTCTGTGTGACTGTGTGTGTGTGTGTGTGTGTGTGTGTGTGTGTGTGTGTGTGTGTGTGTGTGTGTGTAGGAGGTATGCTTAGGAAGCATAATCACACTCTGGAATTTCCACATGAGTAGTATCACCTAGCCTAGGAGTAGGTTTCTCACAATCACCTTTGGATGAGCTAATTTCTTTCTAACACTCAAGTGCCCATGAGCAACCCCAGCTCCTTACTTTGTAGTGGAAAGAAAGTTTGCTTGCCAGCTGAACACATGACACAAGACGCAGGATAAACTTGTCGAAAAGCTGCTCCTTCAGAGCCCTCCAATTCTGAGGCTCTGTCTTCTCTCTCAGCTGGGTTGTGGCTTGCCTGCAGATATTCTCTGCCTGTTTAACCATAAACCTATAAAGAAGGGAAGGAGAGATTAAACAATCCACACTCAAACTAAGCTGTGTCTTATTCTTTCCAACAGCAATCTCAAGCTAAGAAATTTACATTTGCAAGTTATAGAGGGTACAAAACCAGGTCTCATGGTACAGGGCACTAGTACTTTTTTTTTTTTTTTTTAAGGTTTGGGTACATTAGCCATTCTGAGAGGTACTCCTTACAAATGCCTTATGCTTAGGGCTTTACCTTTCTAGGATTTCTACAGCCTGGTAGCTCACGGATTTCTCCAGACACCATTGTTCAGACAGGAGAAAAACAAACTCTGCCAAAACAGGAAAGAAGAGCCTAATTCACAAGGTGCAACCAAACCACTCTGTGAACTCTTGGCGTTGTGTAAAAGCCATGATGGGGCCAAGGGAAGAGGGTCAGAAGGTAAGAAAGATGAGACTGAAACAACCCAAGCTGAGCTTAGTTCCCTTTGCTGCCAATAGGCAGATCAGAGGCATGAAAAGGAGGCTGACTGAGTGCCAAAGACTTACCAAGGGCTTACCAAGCCCCCTCAGTGACCTTTGAGCCTTCCTGTGGGTCTCAGCTGACAAAAGGCTTAGCCAGTTACACATAAACATACCAGCTGGTCTAACTGGCCTCTACACCATGCTGGGAACCCGAGCTTCAAGGGAGATTCTTGGATGGATAAGAACCTTAACTCTTATATTCTGTTTGCAGTGGAATGTTGACAGGAACAGAGAGGTCCCTCCTGGAGCCTCAATATTCTTTATAATACTGTTTGTTTAGTAACCACCCTCTGGAGAACTCCCATTGCTTTACAAACACAATTCACCTTACAGCTGGACACCATCTCTCCACTACCAGTTTGTTGGGTAAATCTAGGATAGCTGAGCATCTCCCCGGGAGCAAGTTTGTTACAGTGGAGTGGCTTGTTTTGAAGACACATCCTCCAAATCAGGGAACATAGCCCAATTTGGGAAAAAAATTCCCTGGGAAGGTGGGAAGGGCAAGATACCTTGGCAAGATTTTGGGCAGCCTGTTTCTCTTTGAAAGAACCACCTCAGATAGAATTCTATTTAGTTTGCAATATCATTAGAGGGTGGAAACAAGGTTAATGTTCTCAAAAAAGAAAGACTTCTGCAGAACTGGGAACTTTTAGCACCAATCAACAATCAAATTACCATATTGTCTTCAGAGAAAATTTGACTTTCTTAGAAAAAAAAGCTGTAAAAATCAAGCTAGCATGAGATAATTTAACAATCTATTTGACACACATTACACATAATATCTATACAAAACCTTATCATTACAGAAACTAAATCTCTGCTAGCAGTGTCCAACAAAGAAGATAATTAGTTTAAGCAATTAAGCAAAATATCTAAATATCCCAGAACACATAATTATGTATTATTAGCTAGTCCTTTTATTTGTTGGAGTTTAGGTTTCCTTCATTTTGTTTTTATTCTATGTGTATAATAGTTTGGTTTGATTTTGGTTTTGGCCTGGATTATAGGGGCAATTTTTTCTATTTCCCATTTTAATTTGCCAAGAAAATTTAGCTTAGGTTAGGTGACATGGATGAGGGTTACACCTCTCCCTTGGTGCTAGTTCTGTCTCCTGTACTTACAAATATACCTGCTGCTTCCACTGCATCATTTACTCCATAATGTTCTACTATTTGGCTTCTGCTTTATCCAGCCTGCTGAAATGATTGTTTCAAAGGCCAGCAAATATGTCCAAATTATTAAATATCATGGCCCTTTTGAAGTCCTCATTCCTGTTGGCAGTCCTCATTCCTGTTTTTTATAGCCCTGAAGCATCTGATCTCTGCTGACCATCGTCCTTCTTGAAACTCTCCTCTTGCCTTCTAAAGGTCTTTGGCTCTGTTTCTATCTCTCAAACCACTCCTTTTATGTCTTTCATACTCTTCTTCCTACCCCAATCCCCTGAACACAAAATGTTTCCCAAGAAACTGTCCTTAACCTTCTCTTTTCCCCTCTAGGAGCTCATCCTCTGTTACAATTTCAATAGTATCATTTTGGAGATAACCCCCAAACCTTTACCTCTAGTTCTGACCGTTCTTCTGACTTACTTTTTAAACTGGCTGCTAGAAATCTTTCTCTGAATGTTTTACAAACACCTGAAACTCAGTAGATTCAAAACCAAAGCTATTATCTTTCCCAAACAAAAGTCACACTCCTTCCTGTTTTATTTTTTAATGTATGTGTGTGTTTCTCTTAATGGCACCACTATATTTCCAGTCCCCTAGGCTCAACCCTTTGACATAGTCATCTTTGCCTCCCTAACTTCTTAAGTTCATCCATTGCAGAACCCTAGATTTCACCTCTGAGATGTTTTAAGTCCAGCCTCATAATTCCCTCAACCCTATCACCTAAACTACTAACACAGACTCCACTGGACTACCTACCTCCCATTTCTTTCTACTCCAATTCATCCTTTACATCACAGCCAAAATAATTTTTTTCTAAGGCAAAGGTTACAGTTGTATCACAACCATATTAAAAAACCTTCAATGCCTTTTTTTTCTTTCCTACTAAACCAAGTATAAATTCTTCAACTTGGCAGTCAAAGTTCCACATGGAATGTCTCCAAACTACCTTTCTGATATTAATTTCTACTACTTTCCCACATGCTCTGGCCAACCTGGACTACATTATATTCACACTCATCCTAAGCATCCCTATTTCCACAGTTTAACTCAGTTAGAAACGCTGTCCCCCTTTAACACCTTCACCAACCAAATTATCATCCTTCAAGGTCTACCTCAAATGCCATGATGCCTGGAGGACTTTAGTTCTACCCCCACCTCACCCCATCACTCTATTTAAGCCCCATAAAAGCTTGTTTCATCTAGTATGTCACTTTTGTAACCATATTTGTACCTAAGCATTTGCGGATTTGTCCTAATATTCTCCGAGGATTATATACATGGTTTGAAAGCAGAGACTAGGTCTCTATTTACTAACAAAACTTATTCGAATGAATAAAGTAAACTGAATCACAAGGTCGGTGCCTCAAAGTCAGATGCTCAGGTCTCCCCTAAACCCGGCTCCCCTCCCCTGCGTCCACACCCACGATCCGGGTCTCCCTGAAGCTGCCCATCCGGCCCGCGGCCTCCTGCACTGCTTGCTCATTCTGCTGGGCCAAGTGGAGCAGAACGTCTTCGATCATCTCTGTGGCAACAGCTCCAAACTGAAAGTCACTGAGAGAGGCCAATTTTGGCCTCCCAGGTCCGTTCATTTTCAGAAGTCTTTTTGGGCTCTCAGACGGCTCACTGGGTACATAAACCGACCACCTTCACTTCTCTCCAGAGCCTTCTGCCACACTCTGGATTCGTCGACCCCTTCTGTGTGTTTGTCCTCGCCTCAAGTCTGAAGAAAACCCAATTCCCTCCAAAGGCTTTTCCCGCCCCCAACGGCCGCTGACCCCTCAGCCAATCAGAAAGCAAGGCCGCTTTTCGACTACCCCGCCCTTCCCCAGGGCCAGGAGCCACACTCAGGTCACAACAGAAAACGCGGACTGCAACTCCCGGCGTCCTTTCGGTGGCCAAGGACTACGATTCCCAGCAAGCTCCGCGCCCTGAGACCACGAAGGGCGGGGCGGCAACATGGCGGCTCAGGGAGCTGGTGACCCTCTAGATGCTAAGAGTGGAAAGGCTCCACTGGCCCAGCGCATCGACCCTACTCGGGAGAAGCTGACTCCCGCACAGCTGCAATTCATGCGGCAGGTGCAGCTCGCCCAGTGGCAGAAGACGCTGCCGCAACGGCGGACCCGAAACATCGTGACCGGCCTGGGAATCGGGGCGCTGGTGTTAGCTATTTGTATCCATTTGGACTGTGGACTCAGGGAGACTGCATATGGGGGCAAGGGAAGGGGAGCAGAGGCATGTTGAAGGACAGTGTGGGGGTGGTCGAAGGAGCCCGAGCTGTGAAAGTCTAACGCTGAGCCAAGCGTTTAATGTACCTTTCTTTGTCATTTTAAGGTGGTCTTTTAATATAGTTTATTAATGATGGAGTCGGGGTCATGACTCAGAAGAGCAAAGGGTAGAAGATTAAATCACTGCTTCGAGAGGATGAGAGATTAACAAGGGTGGTGGAAGCAAGTCTAGGAAATAAGAATGTGCATATTCCAAGTGGTTTCCTGAACCCACCTTCCCAGATGGTTACACTCTTTACTCAGTGTCCCAGGAGCGTTTCTTAGATGAGCTGGAGGATGAGGCCAAAGCTGCTCGAGCTCGAGCTGTGGCAAGGGCATCAGGACCCTGAACCAGATGGGCATCGCACATCCCCAACCTGCTGGAGCCCCTTCTCCTGATGGATGATGCCCCATGAACATGTAGAAATTGAAGCCTGCTCACAGCGTTGCTGGCCACCTTACTACCTTGGATGATGATTGAGCCCAAGAAGCCAGAAATTTATACATTTGGCCATTGTCAAGGAAACATTGCCCACCTCTCACTGTGTGCGGTAGCGGAGCCTTTTTTGTATGTAGTTTGTTTCATTGTTTGCAAGGTATCCGACCTTGGGTTTCTCAAGCTTTCTGACTTTGTGGTTTATCCCCTTCACCTCCCAGGAGCTGGGAGGAAGGAGGGCAAGAGGTGGGCTATATGGGAATGGGTATGGCAGCTCTGTGCAGTGTTGGAGCCTACAGGAAAGATGGGGTTAGGTTGAGAATAATAAACTGAGTCATCTGTCTTGGAGTCAGATGAGTGTGTTGGTGCTGACACTTCATGCTAGGAAGCTCCACAAGCAGTAGTTGCAGCAGTGGCATGCCCCAGGGATCCATAAATGTTTAACTAGAATTACTTTTTCTGTGAGATCTTTCCATCTGATTTAAGGGAAAGACCGTGGTGGGTCACTGGGCAGTTTGATACTGAACTATATTTTTGGGAAAGGAATGTCACTCTTCTGTTCTCTACCCTCAAGAATAACACTACTCCAACTTTACTGCCTTTCCCCACCCCTAGAGAGAGAGGTAGATGAAGGATGAGAGGCAAGCAGCTTTGTTTTTTAACTTCCACTGGGGACTGCCTGTGTAGGTTTAAGGTGGGGTCTGGATGGAATCAGCTTGGTGAGGTGGATCATTGACCTTGCAGTTTCCTCATGAGCTGCTGCTAGCAGGAAACCAGAATGCTGGGCAACTTTCACCCCGGCCACTCATTGTGAAAGGAAAGTCCCTTCTAAATCCTCCCCTTCCTTACCCCACAAGCCTTTGCCCCCAGTTCTTAAGGCCCAACAGATACAAATTCACAGAGTCCTAATTCCCGCATTTTTATTAGCTGCTGCTAATTCTAGTGTCCCCCTCCACTGGCCCAGCTGGGAGTGTGCCCTCTAGAAACATCTGTGCTTGGGTGGGACTGCTTAGTGGTTGGCTCTTGGCTGGGAGGCGGCAAGGATGCAGATGGTAGGCTGCAGACTTTACACCTTCTACACCCAGCAAATAGTTCCCACATTTGGCCCTTCCCTGTAATGGAACAATACTCTCCATGCCCCTCTGGCCTTTTATTCCCTCAGTGTCGAGGTCTTTCTTGCAGAGTTGTGTCGGTCAGCAGATTCTGAGAGCACAAGCTCCATGGTGGGCCCTGGTGTGGGGGAGACACGTGGCTTCTGTTCTGAATTCACTGGAAGAAAAAGAAAAAGCACTGAAGAAACCTCTAGGGTGGGAGGAGGGTGAAGCTGCAGCCAGTTATCATTCCCTGGGCTCTCCCTCCTTTGGGCCCGCCCTCACCATCCTGCCAACATCCCCGGCGAATGTCACCCCCTTGCTTGCCCGCTGCTCCTGGGAGCCGGTGCTGCTGCCACTCAGGGAGTTCCTTCGTATGATGCCTGGGTGCAGGATGGGGAAGGAGAGCACTGAGTGAGGGAAGGGGTCATGGGGAGAAGGGGGCTAGTCCCCCCAAACCAAAGGCAGACCCCCAGGGCCTGAAAGAAATCTGGATCACTAGGGAAGGGGACTTGGGAAAGATGGGAGCTGGGCAACTGCAATCTCACCAGGGCCTGGGGGTTCAGAGCGCTGCAGGCTGTTGCGTCGGGAGGTGGGGAAGCTGCCCTTGGAGATGCGGCGCTGGCGGCTGGACAGCATAGCAGCTGGAGCCACGATGCCTGGTGGGGGCTGCTTCCCAAGCCTGCTGTACAAGTCCTCAATTTCCTTTTTCTGTAGTGTCTGTAGTGCCTCCACCTCTGACAAATGCCTGAGGATGCACCAGGAGCTTGAGAGGGCTAGCCACCTTTCTTGCTCTCCCAAGTCCACCTCTTGTGCTCCATCCTCCCCAGACTCACTTTTGTCGAAGACTCTGCAGCTCAGCCCAGAATTCCTCATCCTCCCCACTGCTCTCTGATTCCTCACTACTCAGACACAGGCTGCTGTAGGAGTAGTTCATCCATACTGAGTTGGGATGGCTCAGGGGTGGAGGGCTGTCCACCACTCGGGGTTCCTTCCCACTGTCCCCTTCCTCCTCAGCTCCAGCCCCCAAGCCCTCAGCTGCACGGTCACTCTCAGCCAGAGCCTCCCTGGCCTCTGGCCCGCCTCCAGCACTATCCTCTGTATCTGAGCTCTCTGAGGTCAGCTGAGGGGTTGGAGGCTTCAGGGAATCAGAGAGAGTTGGGGATGTTGGTTGCAGGGGAAGAGGCTCAGCTGGTTCTTTGGGTGAAGTCACCTGGAAACGCCCAACAAGCTGGGGCTTTCCCTCTGTAGAGACAAGGAGGGAGTCATGGAAGGAGGAGAGAAATCAGTGGCAGGATGGATATAAAGTGGACTGAGGATAATGGGTAGGGGAAGATCAGTGGTCAGAGGCCTCACCTTCAGAGATAGGCGCCAGTCTGGCTTCACTCAGGAGTGGCCGAGCAGGATTTGGGGAGGCCTACAAAGTGTGGGTCCATGAGGAGAGAAATGATGGAGAATGAAGCCCACCTAATTATCCCTCTTGGTGCCCTACTCACCTCACTCTCCATCTCAGCTGTCAAAGCTGAAGGCCTCTCCTGGCCACAAGGAGCAAGGGGAATGGGAGGGGGCAGGCTTGGTAAGGGACCAGGAGAGGCTCGAGGAGACTGAGAAAGGAGTCCAGGTGAGGGGGACAGCAGGGACTGGGCCACAGTCATCACAGCCAGTGAGAAGGCACTAGCCAGAGACAGGAGAGGGCCTGCTGTGGGGGAGGGGAGGGGAGAAGCAGAGGGGCATGGAGGAAAGGAAGGAGGCATAAGAGTGACCTGAGAACTGGGAGAGAAGATGGGTGGAGAACTAGGGAGGAGAGAACTCTGTGAAAACTGAGAGGACGGGATTGGAAACGGGGATGCACCGGGGGAGAACAGAAGTGGAGAGCTGGGGGTGTATGAAGAGAGATTTGAGGCCTGGGAAGAAATTGGGGAGAATGGGGAGGAGCTGGTATGACATGGGGGATAAGTGATAGGGAAGATGGGACTTGGGAAAACAGAGGTTCCGGGAGAAAATGGGTTTCCAGGAGACAAGGGGGTCCCAGGAGAAGATGGAGGTGTGGAGAAGGCTGCCCAGCTGCTCTGCTCCAGGGAGGTGCTGCTCTGAAGCTCTGCTGGGGAGGAGGGTGTGTTGAGATTCCAGTCTTCCATTCCCTTCGCCCTTCCCAGAAACAACCCAACGGGACAGAAGTCAGTACATACCACTGGATGGGTTGGGGAAGGGGCCCAAGAGGGCAGGCAATGGTGCTGGCTCCTCCTGAGGGAGAGAAGGAGGCCCACAGTCACAGTGGGGAATGGCCAAGTCTTAGATGGAAGGTTTCAGGCAGCGGTTCTTAAGCTAGGCTAGGACTCATGGACCTCTAGGAGTCCACAGATGAATTTCAAGGAATTCAAAAGTGTATTTGCTGAAATATTTATAGGTAAAGGGGCATAATGTCTGCAACTTACTCTGGTTCAGAAAAAATATGTGCACACACATATAGAGGGGAGAGAGAAAAAGAGAAAGATAAAGCTAATGTGGCAAAACTCTTGCTGCCTACAAAGAGTATCTTTGTACAATTCTCGCAACTTTTTTTTCTGTCTGAAATTATTTCAAAATAATGAGTTAAAAGTATGCATTGAACACATTATTCTAGAACAAAGGTCCATGGCTTTCCTCAGATTCTCAAATGGGCCAAAAGCCACTGTTTTAGGTTCCCGGAAACGAAGAGTTAGATCCAAGGTGACTGGTGAGGCAGAGAGTAATGAAGCCTGGAACAGAGTCCATTTCCCCGCAGGTGCCCAGAGGGGTCTGACCTGGGGTCCCAGGGGGTCTTCAGCAGCCTCCACAGGGCCAGTATCTCTCTTCAACAGGGTCTCCACTCGCTGGATAATCTCCCGAATCCGGCTCAGGAATCCAGCTCGCTCCGAAGGCAGAATGAACTCGTTATATACCTGGCAAAGGGCAGCAGGAAGGGGAGGGAGGGCTCAGTTATCCCACTCATCCCTCTCCACCTGCCCTGATCTTTAAAAATCAACCCTTCACCCTACTGCTTCTGCCAACCACTAACCTAAAACAAGTATTTAGTAAATATCTACTGTGTCCCAGGCACTGTGTGGTTTAAGAACTACAGCTTAGAGGAAATATTCATAGGATGCATGTATTACCAGAGGCTTAACATACCTTATCACATTTAACACCAACAGCTTTCTGGGGGCTATATTAACACCCCCATCATAGAGTTAAGATAACCAATGCTCAAAGAGGTTAAGTTCAGTCTACCCAAGATCACAGGATTTGCACTCCGACCTGTTGAAAGCTAAAACCTGAGGTCTTTCCTACTGTTGTCTCACATCCTCACATGCTTTTGGACACGATATTGCTTGCATAGGACTTATAAAGTATAACACATACACACACACACACGTAAGTAAAAATAAGGCAATAAGTGGTAAATATAACATTCAATTCCACAAACACTTATTGAGCCCACGCTATGTGCCAGGCATTGCACTAGGTACTGTGAGGAGCATTAAAATAAGGTCTTGGTCCTCAAGAAGCCCAAAATCTAATGGAAGAGACACATATATACAGAACTCCATATACTGCAAGTCATCTCATGGTAGGTAAGGCATTTATGAATGAGGGACAGATAAAAATGCTATTCCAGGAGGAGGAGGAGGAGAGTTGTTTTTTAATAGGTATAGAGTTTAAGATTTGCAATATCAAAAAGTTCTGGAAATCTGTTTCATAACAATGTGAATATACTTAACGTTCATGAACTGTACACTTAAAAATGGTTAAGATGGCAAATTTTATGTATTTTTTAATCATAATTTTTAAAAATGCTATTCCGGAGAGAGAACGGCTCATACCACCATGGGGGAGACAAGAGAGCTGGGATGACATCACAGAACTGAGCCTTGAAGGATAAGTAAGAAAAGCAACCCTTTATTGAGGGCCTACAATGTGTGGACACTTCTCATACATTATATCGTATTATATCATTTCTCTTCTCATATGTATTATATCATGTCTCATAAATTATATCCGAATATCTTTGCAAAATAATTATCACCTGCATTTTACTGATGAGCAACCGAGGCTCAGAGAGGTTAAGAAACCTGCCCAAGTTCACTGAATTAGTAAATAAGAGCTGAAATTTGAACTCAGGTCTTACATGAAAAGTCCACTTTTCTCTGTTCCATGCCATTTTTCAGGAAGAGAAGGGCAGTGCAGGCAGAGAGAACAGCATGAGTAATAGCTCTGAGGCATGAAAAGTCATGGCACATTCACAAAATAGTGCAGACTTAAGTATAGCTGAGAGTGCTGTGAATTTTAAAGGCCGTGTTCCAGAATTTGGACCTTACTCTGTAACCACAAATAGCCACTAAAGGTTTTGGGGCACAAGCAACAAGGTCAGATGTAAGTCTTTGGAGAACTCTGCTGCAGAGGAGTGGAGGAGGAACTGGGAAGGAGAGAAAAACGGGCAACGGATCCTGGGTTCAGGGGGCAGGGTCACGGAGCCTGTGTGGGTCTGAGGGGCTTGAAAGCCCAGTAGAGAAGGCTCTCAGGGTGAGACCTCTGAGCAGAGGGAGGCAGAAGTAAAAAGGCACCTAGCCTCTTCAGAGGACCATTCACAAAACAGTGTGGCTGGAGGGAAGATTCTGGAAGGGTCAAGTAGCTTGACAGAAGGTGCTAAGCTTGAGTGCCAAGTGATATTTTGTCTTTGTCCTGGATACAAGGTGAATGACATGATGGAGGAGAAGCTTGTCAGGAGAAAGTTCCTGAAGCCCGACATTTCTCCATTTACTTTCCTCCTTTACCCAAGAGGCTGGTGTCTACCACCCTCACTCCACTGAAACTGGTCTCCCACAAAGACCTTCTCTTGACAAAAGCTGGCCTGATCTTGCCTCAGGCTTCGCCCTATGTCATCTCCTTGAAATTCTCCTCATTCGGTTTTTACTAACATCTTTTGGGGCTCCTTCTACCTCTCAGTCTCCATCTCTGTGTCCTTCGATGATCTATTTCTCCTCCTATTCCAAAACTGTGGGTATCCAATGAGACACACTCAGGCCCTCTATACCTCTGGTTTTGCAGGCCCATCTCCCTTCAATTCTGTACTGACGACTCTGAAATTTACCTGTCTCTGTAGCCCTGCCTGAGCCATATCATGCTCCAATGAAGAATCTTACCTTACCAGTCTATCATTCAAGCTCATCGTGACCCCTAAAAGAGCCTACTTCCATTTCCAACTTCCTCTTTCCTTTGATGGTCTGCTCCCATTAGTTCCTGCAAGCTACAAGTTGCCCTTGATATCCCCTCTCCCTAATATCCTATCATATCAACTCAGCAAATATTTATTGAGCATCTACTGTGTGCTTTTTACTATATCAACAAATTGCTGGATTGTAATTTATTTTCCTGAAACAACCCTCAGATTCACCCCCTTCTTCTTCCCTCCCACCATAAACCATTCTCTCCAGTCCACACCTGGCTTCTTATACCCACCTGCCAACTAGATTCCCTACCCCCAACTCCCTCCCACAACCCATGGCAGACTGGTCTTCTTAAAACCTACTCTCACCATGTTATACTCTGCCTAACTCTTAAGACCATCTATAACCCAGGTCTATTCTACATGCCCAACCTCGATTCCAGAAGGGCTCCTATTAGAACCCTTAATTCTAGTGGTCTCTTCGTGAAGCCTGCCCTGTGGCATGTTCTAAGTCACTCCCTACTTACATGCCTTTGCTTATGCAGTACCCCCACTAGACATGATCTTTCCACCCTTCATTGTCATTCTTACCCATCTGTCCAGATTTTGCATAAGTCCTACTTCTTTCCCCTGCTGCCCCCAGCCCGCCTTTACTCACAGCCACAGTATCATGTGTCTAGCATGTACTTCACTGTAGCACTTGTGTATATCCTATGTTAGTCTCTAATTGCTCCAGCTGAGGATCCAAACCTCACTGGAGAAACAAATCTCCAAAACGAGGATAGAGATGTCTTCAGCGTCACTGTGCTGAGTGCCACCAATGCTTTAAAAACTCTTGCTGTTGGAAGAGGAGGTGGGGTGCATTCAGCACCAGGCAACATCAAGAGGGAGACTCTTGTCCCAGGCCGAAAGATTCTGTCCTCATCTCTCTCCTCCTCACCATGGCAGCTGCAATCTCTTCCGGGCTGTCGCCATCCAGATCAAATCGGAAGGTCACCATCTTGCTGTTGTGTGTCTGTAGCTGGCACTCAACCACTCTGTCATTCTGGTCTGAGACCTTCAGATTCAAATTCAGCAGAAGGGAGGAGGTCAAGACCTCTGTCCTCATCACATGTCTCTACCCCACTCCAACCAAGTGATAGTGGCTAGATTGGAACTGGGGAGAAGACTCTGCTCCCAAAATCTGGTATTAGAACTTGGCCTGGCTGCCACTTGGGTACCAGTCATACGCTGCTACTTCCCTTTTCTGGCCGACCTCCCCCATCCTCCTGACAGTTCCTTCTGGCCCTGAAGGTTATTGCCCATCTCTGCCCCTTTCTTACACTAGTGACCCGAAGCCGGGATCGGGGTCTGCGCCGGAGATTTCTCCCTGGGGGTCTCCTCATCCGTCCCATCCCTTCACCCATTTCACTAAGGCCTGATGCTACATCCGAGGCATGGCTGCAAAAAGGAAAGAAGATAGAAGAGTGTCAGAATGGACACTGGGACTCTAGAGCTCCATATGTCTCACCCTAGCACCCCAACTCCTACCAGAACTTACTTGTCTCCAGGGCTAAAGTCACTGCCAGGGCCAGAACGTGGAATGGATAGGGCAAAAGCCTGAAATAGGATATGGGTTCATGAGATCAGAGGAAGATAATTGTTCAGATCCAGGGAGATGATTTCAAGGATGCTGAGGTAATAAGGAGATGGAATTAAGGAAGATGAGGATAAGAGTGGTAGATTTCCAGGGACATGGGACCAGGTAATGGGATTGGGTTTCACAAGGAGGGAGACAGGTCACAGGTTTGGAACGGCTGGAAGCCCCTCCCCGCCCAGGTGACCCCCTCTCACCGAGGGCAGGCAGAGATGGGACTCAGCAGGGCTGGACGGCACCCCCTTAGGGGCCTGAAGGGCAGGGTCTGAGGCATCCAGGAAGCCAGAAGAGCTGAGGTAGCCATCAGTCTCGCAATCCGCTGGTGGGGGAGGGAGGGGATCAAAAAAGGGGAGATAGGGGGAGGGGGTCTGCCTGAGCAAGTAAAGAAAGGCCTGAAGTTTTCCAGAAAGAGCTCCATGGCTAGATGTGGAACGCAGGGTAAGTGACAGTGCTGCTGGGTTGAACTTCTGGGTGGGGGAGAGAGGCTAAGGGACCGAAGTCTCAAGGTCAGAGGTGACTTACAGGTGGTAGATGAGTAGCTGGCATGGCGGAAGAGGAAGAGCTGGTGCTGGTCTGCCTCTGGCTCCTCAGGCTCATGGGGAAAGGCACTGGGGAGACCAGGAGCCATGGGGACAGATGCTGGCTGGGGTTCTGGTGCAGGAGGGAGGGCCTCCAACTCCCTAGCTTTACGCAGCTTCTCACGCTTTCGCTGGATAGCGGCCACCCGTTCACGTACTGCACGGGCCACTGGCTGGTAATCAGCTTCACAGACTAAGCCCAGGGCAACCTGGAGTTGGGAGGGTGAGAAACGCAGTTTGAGACTCTCCTCAAAGGCCCAACAGAACACTTTTTTCGGGCCTCCAGGATATGAGAGGAAGAGAACCAACACTTATTGGTTACCTACTGTGCCCATTAACTGGCAATTCCTTACATTATCACATTAATTCCTCCCAATAACCTTCTGAGGTAGGTCTTATCAACTCCATTTTAGAAATAAGTGAGCAGTTTATGGTTATACAGTAAGTCAATTGCCTTCAATTGAGGAAGGCGGGAGATTTGGCAATATTTGGAGACTTTTTAGTTGTCATAATTGGAGGGTAGGTGCTACTGGCATCTAGTAAGTAAGTCAGAGATTCTTATCAACAACCTACAATGCACAAGACAGTCCCCCAAACAAAGATGTCAGTAGTGTCAATGTCAAGAACTCCTGTAAATAACTAATGGGTCGAGATTTGATCTCAGGTCAGTGCTGTGGAGACCTGCTCTGATGCCACATTTCAAATGCTTCTCAGGTTCCTGACCCATAAATGATACCCATCCTTTCAACTGCCATTTTTTCTATTAAGAATCTCATACTCTCTCCCTTCTCCCTCGGGCCTTGCTAAACCAGCCCCCAAGCTTCTGTCCGCACACATTCTACATCCTATGTATACCTCTCCTGGTCCACCAGTTCCCATTTATCATCTTATTCATTTCAATGACAAGCTTTGCTGGGTACATTAAGGAGGCGGGGCAGGGCGATCTGACTTACAGGCTGAACAGCCTGAGTTTAGATCCATCTCTGCCACCTACTTGCTTGGCCCCTTGGACAAGATATTCAACCTCTCTCTGAGCTTTTATTTCCTCACCGATATATCAGGATTTTATGTAGAGTTCCATGTAGAGTTGATAACAATGATCAAATGCACATGAAAGTGCTCTAAGCCATGTACACACGTGGGCTATTAATGAGTTCCTACCATGTGCCAAGCACTGTCAGGGATAGAAAAATCAATACAGTCTCTATTGCCCTCAAGGAGTTTATAGTCTAGTAGAAGAAAAAAACAGAAATGCAACCTGGTAGAAAACAAGACCAATCATGGTGAGTCCTGTAACTGAGGACCTGGTGAAGTGAAAAGCAGCATTTAATTTTGACTCTAGAATGATATAGCCTCCTAAAGTTGATGGTTCTGAGCATAAAGGAAGAAATAGAAAAGAACAAGAGATTGGGGGCGGGGGAGCAAAAAAGAGAAAAGTAAATAGGTAGGTAAATTGGAAGGAAGGACATTCAAGGAACATCAGATCAGCTGGACATAAAGGCCAAAGGCTGGAGGACCCAGGGTCTGTTCTTGGAAAGAAAATCTTCAATGTGTTGACCACAGGATGTGCATGTGAGTGTATTAGGGAGGAAGGGGCTGGAAGGCACTGGCAGGAGATGTTGAGAAGGATGGATTGGACCCCATCCCCACCACCCCGGCACCCGTCACACACCCATCCTCTGGGCAGTCAGTCCTCTGCTCACCATTTCCTGCGCCACTTCCTCAGCCGCATCCCGGCCTAGCTGGAACAGAAACTCAATAGCCTGGTTGTCCCGTGGGCGCCCCCCTCGCCGCGCATCCTCCATGCGCAGCCAGAGCTTGAGGTCCGGCTTCTCACCATCGTCCTCCTCTGCCAGCTCCACATGCACACCACGCTCTTCGCGGAAGAAAGCGTGAGCCAGAAGGTCCTGAATGGTGAACCTGAAGGCAGCGCTGCGGTGAGCTGAGCCCCACCGCACCCCCGCCCCCACCCAGCCCCCTTCCCCGCACCTCTCGTTCTTATCCGTTCTGATGCAGCCTTCAATGATCTCCTTCACTTCGGGCATCTTCACCTTGTAAAAGCTGTTTGGCTTTGTGCCCTGGGGGAAGGGGTCGCATGAGCCTCGGCTCTCCGTGCCCCAGCTTTCTGCTTGACAACCCCTTTCCCACTCCCCTATCTCCACCACACGCGTGCCAGAGGCAGCAACAAGTGCAGGCTCAAAAGCACCGCAACTCCTTCTGGGAGATTTGATTTCGAATCCCAGGTGCCCCATATATTGTCAGTGTGACCTTGAACAAGTCTGCCTCTGAACCAGTTTTCTCATTTGTAAAACGCTGGGCAGAATATTTGCTCTGTTCACTCCGCGGAGCAGCTGGAACGATCGGTTGAGAAGTTAGAAGTGAAATCATTTGGAGTGCCACATACATCATTATTCTAAATAGCTTGTAGTGGAGGGAGGCATGTGTGCACCCAATATCCTTCAGTGTAAACTAGGGTATCTTTGTATCTAGCCTGTTATCATTAAAGGAAAGGACACTGTACGCGGGCTGGTTAGGACAGGAAAATGGGAGGGACCTAGAATTCCGTCTCCTCCCTGCGTCCTCTCACCGAGGTGACCTTGCGGTAGATTTGCGCGGCATTCTGGCACTCTGAGTAAGGGTACTCGGAGGTAGCCATCTCCAGCATGCACATGCCAAATGCGTACACATCCACGGCCTCATCGTACTTTTCCTCATACATCTCTGGAGCCATGAATTCCGGGGTCCCTGTGAGATCCACAGCAGGCATCAGGCTGCAGAGTTCCCCTTCCGTCTTTGTTCCTGCACGCCCACCCCCCACTCCCGCCCCCTTTGGGCATCCCATAGACTAGGCAGCCTGCAAGTTCTGGAGTGCAAGTGACCGACCCTTTCCCACCATGGTAAGGGGGAGAGGGGATGCCATAGGTCTCCCATCTTCCCCATGTTCTTCTAACTCCGTGATCTCAAAGAACCCTGCTGGGGTGAAGGGGGACCCCAGGCTTTCTTCTAATGTGGGGGAGGTAAGAAAGGCAAAGATCCTCCTGGAGGGACGCACCGATGACACTCTTGGCAAAGGAGGCACGCTTGAGTGTGGCAAGGCCCAGGTCCCCGATCTTGACAGAGCCCGTAGGGCCCGTGATAAAGACGTTGTCGCACTTGAGATCTCGGTGCAGGATGGGGGGTACCCGGGAGTGTAGGAAATGAAGCCCCCGTAGAATTTGGCGGCTCCAGCGCTGAAGGACTCGGGGCTTCATCTCACGGAACCTCCTCAGGTATCTTGGGGAGGGAGCATAGCCAGGGTCGCAGCAGGGAAAGGAGCCCCCACTGAGGAGTTTCCCCAAGCCCCCCACCACACTGCCACCTATGACATCTATGCATCTTCTGTAAGCATTCTCCTAGTCTAGGACCATGCCAGGATCCAGGGAGAAACAGTCCGGAGGTGTGGTAAGTAGACATGAAGTTATAGGGCTGCGGCCAACGGAGCTATGGAAGCACAGAAAGGGATGACTAACTGCCCTGGTGTGGGGGAGGGCTCCACAGAGGAAATAACTTTGTGTTGCATACTGAAGGATAAGTAGGAGTTCAAGGGTGAAATGGGGATGGAAACTTTCCAGGGAGAGGGGACAGCATGCTCAAAGGCACGGACAGCAAGCCACAGGGCAGGCTGGGAGGAGGTGCTGGAAATTTGGTTTGTCTGGAATTTAAGCTGAAGATGAGGCTGGACCCTAAGGGCTGTGAGCAGTTTAGCGAGAATGGACATTATCCTGAGGGGCATGGGAAACCTTGCAGGGGATTTTAAGAAAGGGAGTGAGATGGTCAGATTTGCAATAGAGAGAGAGATTCCCCAGGCTGCAGGAAGACAGAATAGCTTGGAGAGGAAAGGGGTAGAGCGGGGTAAGACCCTTGGGGAGTGGGGGGCTGAAGGGCTCCAGACCAATGAGGTGGCAGTTGAAGTGGGGGCTTAGATGGGCCAGTGAAAGCCAAGTGGGAAGATATAAGAAGGGACTTGGAGATAGACTGATGGGGGAAGGAGGTGCAGAATGGAGAGAGAAGAGGTATCTGGGGAGACCCCCAAGTTTTGGCTGGAGTGCTGAGTGGACCTTGCCATTCACTGGGTGGGGTGTGTGTGGGGGGGTGAGAGATAGTGAGCCTGGTACTGGACCTGGATGTAGAGTTTGGGGAGCCTGGCAGAAGTTCCAGAAGCAATGGGAACCTCCCATGACTGGCTTTCCCACCAACCACCACCACCAGGCAGAGAGCTCACGTCTTGAGTGTGCCCGAGGTCATGAGTTCCGTGACCAGCACGATGCAAACCTGGCCCCTCAGCACCGACTTCCACGAGTCATAGAAGCGGACAATGTTGGGGTGCTGCAGCCCCTTGAGCATCTCCACCTCCTCTGAAAATCGCTGCCGCTCGGCTCGAGACAGTTTCCGAGTCTGTGGGGTAGGGGATGGGGATCAAGGTCACAGTCAGGCCCAGGACCCCCACAGAGAGAGGCATGGGGCACAGGGGGTGGGGCCGGGTCAGTGGGATCACTAGCCCAACCCGCTGTAGACCCCAATTCCAGGTCCGTCCCTTTGGGCTGCTCCTAGGATACACCCATCCTGGGCCTGAAGCCGCCCCCTGGGCCCCCTGGACCCCCTGCTGGACACAAGCGTCTTTATGCAGCCTGGTCCAGGAGCCCTGAGCTCAATAGCGCCTTTGTGGCTGCCCAGGCTGGCCGTGGGGCGGGAGGGGGAGCCTGGGGACTGGCAGCGGGCAGGCAGCAGGCAAGCTGAGCAGGCGGGCGGCCGGTGGGTAAAGAATGGGGCCGGCAAGGGGGTTGGCCCAAGAAACAGAACTGCTAGAACCAGACAGGAGGTGGGAGGGCTACAGAGGGAGGTACAGAAAAAGAGAGGAAGGATCAAGGACCAGGCGCAAGGAGACCGCCCCCAGCCTCATTGGTGTCCCGCCCCTATCTCATCTCCCTCCCTGACCAC